CAACTCCCAGAATGTCTCAGCCAGGCACACTGGCTGAGGAATTCTGGGAGTTGAAGTCCACAAGTCAAGGGGTCTTCAAACTTACTTGACCCTTTTATAACTGGTGGACTTCAACTCCCAGAATTCCTCTGGCTGAGGAATTCTGGGAGTTGAAGTCCACCAGTCATAAAAGGGCCAAGTTTGAAGACCCCTGACTTAGGAGGTTGAAAAGATGGTTGAGGTTAACTTAGGGAAGAAACTATGAACTGATCTGAGACCCATTCCCAAATATTAGAAAGGTGGTGATGAAAGTATGGACTCCTTTATCTTCTGCTCCACTAGACTAGAGAACAAGACCCCAACTAAAAGATCGAAGGAAGTTTGCGGGGAACATTCTAATGGTGGGAACTGTGTCGCAGTGATGGATCTTTGATAACATTAAGAGACATAAACTAACTACATTGTAGCTTCATATGTTCTTCAAGTCCAGACAGCGTGGTGACTACATGGATCAGGATTGGGGCCAAGCTTAGGAAACTGGGTCATTGGACTTAAATCGTAGTTCAGCTTATCCTGGACACATGATGGATGCAAACATAGACTAGACTATTGGGCCACTGCTTTTTTAAAAAAAATCAATCTGCAGTCTACATGCCTATTCTGAGTTAACTTTCATGCAGACCTCTTGAATCTATCATATGCCTCTTTCCAAATGCATGCAAGTTCCTTGTCTCTGGGGGAAAAAATGGTCTGTTCCTTTCTTTCCAAGGATTCAGAATACAAGCTGAAATGATCCCAGTGTAGTTTCACCTCCATTGGACCCACTGAGGTCTTCACTACAGCACACCGATTCTTTTTCTCACTGTGTGCCTACCAGATTCATAGGTAGGATTCACACAAGACTCTAAACCCTGGTTATCAAACCCCAATACCTGCATTCATGTAGACTGTGATGCCCAAAGAAAGGGACCCCATCACAGTTTACTGCAGGGCTGTCCAACCTTGGGAATTTTAAAACTTGTGGGCTTCGACTCCCAGAATTCCTCAGCCATCATAGCTTCAACCTTGAAGACTTGCGGATTTCAACTCTCAGAATTCTGGGAGTTGAAGTCCACAAGTCTTCATGTGCCTGAGGTTAGACACCCCTGGTATACTGGGATGTCCTGGTTCACAAGACACGCTAAACCACAAAATATAGCCCCATCACTTCAGCGTGGCCTACCTTGTGATGCTCAGCCGCTTGTGTTCTCTTGAAATGTACAAATGAAAGAAAGAAATCAAAACTCTGTTCTCCATTTTATGACCAGGCAGAGCTGGTAGGAATTTTTCCACCAAGAACTTCAGAGGAATGTTCTTTGCAGGTGGTCAATGTTGTGTTAGAGTTGGACTGACTTTTTCAGCCGTTTCCTCCCCCCCTCTCCTTCACAGACAGACAGGCAGATGGACTTCCATCCCTTTGACCCTGGATGGATGGGGCCTCTCTGAAACCAGCAACTTATTGGTCAAGTTCAGGGGTCTTCAAACTTGGCCCTTTTAGGACTTGTGGACTTCAACTCCCAGAATTCCTCAGCCAGGCACGCATCCAGCTCAGCCTCTCCACCCCCCCCCAAATTTCCTTGCTATCTCACCTGTGGCAAAGGTGGGATTTTTTTTACGTGTTTCTCAACTTTCTCTACAAAATGAATTAAAAGAGAATTTCACTCGCCTCCAGGAATGGATGAATATATCCTTCAGCTTAGACCGTAAAAAAGGAAGGAGACTGAGATAGGGTTAGCTGACTCCCTGGCTGTGTTTGCACAACATTCTAAATTTCACTACGGCTTATTAAATATATGGTTTGTCCCAAAGGGGCTTTTGCCAAAAGCCAAATGGGTTGTTTTTTTGTTTTTTGTTTGGAAACATTTCTACTCACCCAAGAAGCTTCTTCAGTTCTTCTACTACAGTTCTACTCCTTGGATGAGAAGTGAGAAATGTTTTCAAACTAAAAAACCCCAAAGAATGTCCAATTGCCTTTTGGGAAAAAAAAAAGCATCTTTGGGATAACCATGATCTGGATGACTGAGAATCTCCAGACATTAAATATGGTTTATTCAATAAAGTCGTAACTGCTTGAGGTTCACTCTTACAGTAAGCCACAAAACAGAAGCCATTTAAGGTTAGCTTGTTGTGTAAATGCACTCCCGGGTTTGAATGGTTCCCCCCCTCCTCTGCCCCCCCCCCCCAGGATTGGGAAGCAGTCTCTCCATTTGCACACGTTGGTACGATTTTACTCCTTGTTCTCACAACGGTGCTAAAAATTAGAAAGCGTTCATGTTTTGGTATTTGAGAAAAGAGGGACGCATGTTTCTTTTCTGAACTGGCTGTCCAAGTACATCATAAATGGAATTTTCCAGGGAAAAAAGTAGTGTGAGAGAGAAAAACGAGACATGTTCCTTAATTAGATGTTGTGATTTATGCATTTCAGAAGCCTCCAGATTATAGCATTTAACCGAGTTTGCCTGCAGCTTTGAGCGTAGGCAAAGTTTTCCAGTGACCAATTTTGTTTAAATATTCTTAAACTTATTTTGTTTTTTAAGAAGGGGGAGGAACATTCCGTAAAACAATCTGAAAGAAACGTGTAGTGTTGGAAAGCCAGCCTCCCATTAATTGCCCTTTTTGGTTTGTACACAGACTCAAAATCCATCGGGGTTAAATCATCCCATCTTTATTTTGTTCAATTAATCAATTGCCAAGTCCAGATCAGCACGATAGAATCAAAGCTTCTGCTGATTTTATTTTGCAGATTTAAATCTGGGAGCAATTCTTTCATAAGATGTATGTTTGTGGAACTAGGAAAAGGGCAAGAAAAAAAATGCATTTTTATTTATTTTTTTACTGGGTACAGACTGAAAGAGAAAATGTCCACCGAAGCATTTGACCGTACGTTTTGGAATAAAGCAGGGCGGGAAATAAAATCCAATTGAGACGAGTAACAGCCTTGCTTGCCACGATGACTTGCACGTCGTGGTTTTAAAACTTGTGAAGTTTTAGGGCAACGAAGGACAATCGAATTGGGTCTTTGCGCATCCCGGGAGCCCGCATGATTCAGGCTAGCTAGGTTCATCTCCCAAAACCAGATCGAAAGGTAGATCTTTTGACAGCAACGTAACCTCAGAAATGATTGAAGGCGAAACTTCTAGCTTGTTCTGTCTTAAACTAAAGGCAGGACACTCCGCAAAGCGTCACGGGCTACGTGTGAATGTGTTCTAATCAGGATCTTTTAAAGTAGCCAAGGACTGATAAATCGATTCAAGAGGTAAAGTCGCGGGATACACGCCGTTCAGAAAAAATAAAATAAATAAATCTACGAATCCTCGTTTCTTTGCGCGATACGAGCGCGCAGCAACCGCGAGCGAGGCCAAGCGTCCGATCCAAAGCCAGTTGCGCGGGGGCCCGGGGGGAGCGGCCATCGAGCAGTTCCCCCCCCTCTCCGTCCATTCCTTATTTAAATCGATCTCCCATTAGATCCCCTTTTGAAACGCACGTGCCTTTTCGGCTTGCCTCTTGGTAATCCTAATCCCGTCCTCCAAATTCAAGATCCCTCTTTTAAAAAAAAAATAATAATTGTGCGAATTAAGTTTAAAAAATAAATAAATAAAAAAAGGGGAGGGGGGAGAGGAACCCTTTGCTGCCCTTGGAAAAGCGGGGCGCCTCCCGCGCCTGAATGAGCCACTAGGGGATGCAATGGCTCAATGGACAGAACGTTGAGAGTAGTTAAAAGTTCGAACGCGGGGCGAGCAGCCAATCGCCGAAGGCTTTCGGCGAGCCGAGGACGCCGATTGGCTGCGAAAGTATCCACTCGTCGCTTTTCTCTCGCCACTCTCCCTTTCCCAAAGTCAGCGGCGGCTTCTCCTTAAAGGGGCTTTAAAAACTGGAGCGCCTTCAATTCTGTCCCGCTTAGACGGCGGGGGAGCCTTACGGGGAATAATCCGGGTTGGCAGCAAAGTCCCCCCCCCCGTGTTGTACCCACGACCCGTGAACGTTCATTCAAACGCTGGCCGCAAGTGAGAGAACCCGCCAGACGCCTCATTTCCCCCTTCTTTTAAGGGGCAACTAACCCATTGTTTTAAATTCCCTCTCCACCTGCTTTCCTAAATTTTTTTTTCCGGGTTTGAATTCGGTTAATTCGTGTGTGTGTGTGTGTGTGTGTATGTGTGTGTATGTGTCCCTCCACCTGCTTTCCTAATTTTTTTCCGGGTTTGAATTCGGTTAATTCGTGTGTGTGTGTGTGTGTGTGTGTGTGTGTGTGTGTGTGTGTGTGTGTGTTTAGTAAGGAAGCCCACTAGATGTTTCAACCGGGTCTAAACGCCCCACCCGCACGCACAGATCTCTTTTTCCTAGCGCAACCACATCATCCCTCGACTTAACGCCCGTTGTACATCTAATTTCCTCTGAAATGGCAAATTTGGGGGGGGGGGAGAAAGTGTTTGCAGCCCCGTGCTGGATGTGTGCGCCCGCGCGCGCGTTTGGGAAAGGAGTGCTCCTTAAAAATAAATAAAAGGAAAGGAAAAAAAATGCGGATAAAATCTTTCTCCCCCCCCGCTTAAATTTCTCTCTTTCTCTCCCCCCCCCCGCCCTCCGCCTGGTGGTGATTAACTCTTTCTCAAGTTTGGCAATCCTGCGCAATCTTTCCGCCCCAGGTAGGAGTGGGAGGAATAGAGACGCTGTTTGTTGCGAGGGGAGGGGGGGGGCGGGAAGAAGAGAAGAGGGAAGGGGGACCGGCCGCCGTTTGCTTCCTCCCCCCTCCCCTTGTTCAAGGACAGGCCCCTCCCCGCCGATGGTACGGGAACCTCCTTAAGTTGCGTCTCGCCACAGCTGTCTCTTAATGCGGAGCCTGCTGGCGCCATCCTGATTCTTTCAGAAATAAAGCCTTCCCTTAAAAAAAAAAAAAAAAAAAAGAGCGAGAGAGGGAGAGAAGGAAGGAAGGAAGGAAGGAAGGAAGGAAGGAAGGAAGGAAGGAAGGAAGGAAGGAAGGAAGGAAGGGGGAGGGAGGGAGAGAGAGAGAGGGAGAGAGAGAGAGAGAGAGAGAGAGGTGGAGGTGTGGAGGAGGAGGCAGTGAAAGAAGCCAATTTGAGCTGGCCGATTATTTCTTCTCCTCTGCAACTTTTTCTCCCGGCACTGCCTTTTTCTATGCCCCATTATTTTATTTTATTTTTATTTATTTTTTTTTTTAAAAAAACCCGCTGTCCTTTCGCCTTTGCCCCTCCCTCCTGCTTTGCTCTCTCCCCCCCACCCTTTTATTTCATTTTATTTTTCTCTCTCCCCCTTTGCTCCAGTTGCATTCAAAATGATACTCGCGAGCGAGGAGCCCCGGCCAACTCCGAACTTCTTCTGCTGAGCAACCGCGCGCCTCTCTTCCGCGCACGCCTTTTTTTTTTTTTTTTTTAAATTTTTTTTGCAGCTTTCCCGGTCAACGAAATGAAGAGTCGCTCAGCGGAGTAACTGCCACAGTCCCGGCTGCCAAGCGCGCCCCCCGGGCTCCCTCCGTCGCTCCTCCGGCCGCAAGCGCGTCGGAAGAGCCCCCCCTCCCTCCGACCCTTGCCCAGCGCCCAGCCGGGCAGCTGCCAGCTCCGGCCTCCGTTTTGGAAGCCCGGCGCGGCGCAGCTCGCATTTGCGCTCGCGCGCCGATCCCCGGGGCTCCGAACAGCCGGCGGATTCCGAAAGCGAAAGGTCGTTTCCCCCCCCTGCGCCGAGAGGTGAGTCGGCCGGAATTTGGGGGTTCTAGCGCCGCGCAAGTTTGCAGGATTTGCCCGATTTTACGGGACATTTTTTTTTTTGTGTGTGTGCAAAGGATCGCTTTGGCGTTTCTAACCCTTTTCTTTCTTTCTTTCTTTCTTTCTTTCTTTCTTTCTTTCTTTCTTTCTTTCTTTCTTTCTTTCTTTCTTTCTTTCTTTCTTTCTTTCTTTCTCTCTCTTTTCCTTCCTTCCTTCCTTCCTTCCTTTCTTCTCTTTCGCTTTCTTTCTCTTCCTTCCTTTTTCTTTCTTTCTTTCTTTCTTTCTTTCTTTCTTTCTTTCTTTCTTTCTTTCTTTCTCTCTCTCTCTCTCTCTCTCTCTCTCTCTTTCTTTCTTCTCTTTCTTTCTCTCTCTTTCTCTCTTTCTCTCTCTTTTCCTTCCTTCCTTCCTTCCTTTCTTTCTTTCTTTCTTTCTTTCTTTCTTTCTTTCTTCTCTTTCTCTTTCTTTCTTTCTTTCTTTCTTTCTCTCTCTCTCTTTTTCTCTCCCTCCTTCCTTCCTTCCTTCCTTCCTTCCTTCCTTCCTTCCTTCCTTCCTTCCTTCCTTCCTTCTCTTCTTCGCAGGTGATCCGTGAAAGGGAAGCAGACAGTGCCGGATCCGGGGGGGAAGGCGGCACTTGGCGGCGGCGGCGGCGGCTGGAGAAGAATTTCTGCCGGTGACTTTTCCGGGCTCTCTCGTTCTCCTTCCCCCTCGTCCTCCTCCTCCTCCCTTCGCTCCGGTTTGGAGAGAGGAAAAAAAAAAAAGAGGCGTTTATTCGAAGCAACAACCCCCCACACGCCCCTCCGGCGCTTTTCCCTGCGGAGAGACCTTGCAGACTTCCATCTGCCCGCGCCGGTTTTTTCGGATCTCCGCTTAAGACGAACTTTCAGACAAACTTCGTTCAAGTGAAAGTCTAGTTTTTCTCTCCCCCCCCCCGCGTCCCGGACTCGGTTGTCTTTTTTTTTTCTTTTTTCCTCCCCCTTTTTTTCCTTTCCTTTTTTGGGGGGGGGGCACGGGGGCGAGGGCCGCGAAGAAGCCGTAGGTTCTCCACCTGGTCACCGCGCCTGGTCATCCCGCGGAGGACAGCATGGAAGTTACCACGGATCAACCCCGCTGGGTCAGCCATCACCACCCGGCCGTTCTGAACGGCCAGCACCCGGATTCCCACCACCCAGGACTCAGCCACTCGTACATGGACCCCACGCAGTACCCTCTGGCCGAGGAAATGGATGTACTTTTTAATATCGACGGGCAGGGCAACCACGTGCCTTCCTACTACAGCAACTCGGTGCGGGCCACGGTGCAGCGGTACCCCCCGACCCATCACGGTGAGTGCCCTGGCGGGGATAATGTGTGTTGTGTGTGCGTGTGAGTGTAGAAACCAGCGGGGCTTGCCTTGGCTCTTCATTTCCTTTCAGATCTGCCCTCCCCAACCTGCTACTTTTGACAGCCAGCAAAAAAAAGAAAAGAAAAGAAAAGAAAAAAGGCAGAAAAAAAACCCCTCCGGAAACCGAGCGGAGGGATGTGTGTGTGTGTGTGTGTGTGTGTGTGTTTGTAGGTGAGAGAGCGAGGGTGCGTTTTTCCTCTCTTGCCTTTTGCACGCTTAGGTTTTCCGCGCTGCAGGTTCGGCGGGCCGAGCAACAAAACCATTCTGCAAAAAGGCTTGTAAAGGCCGAAGTGATTTAACCCAGCGAAATTATTATTATTATTATTTGCTGAGCTAGATCGCGTCGCAGCTCCCCCCACCTCTTGTTACTTAGGTGTAAGAGTGCAGGTCTGTGCCTATGTTGTGTATAGCATGTTTTAAATGTGGGTCAGGTATGTGTACGCTTGGAGAGGAAGGAACTCAATTTCATTTTTAATGGGTGCTGTTGTGCCCACAGGAAAAAAATGACAATAAAGGTTATTTAATCTAATCTGTCTTCCTCCCCCCCACCACTTCCCCGGGCCCATCTTTACCGGGTCAATGAAAGAAATTGGGGTCTTTCAACCTGGGCTTAGGGCCGGGTCGAGTTCACACGACTTACTGACTCCAGCTCACGGCTGAATGAACCGATTGGGCAAAACCCACCACCCACAACAACTGTGTTTAAGCTCCTCAAACTTGGCGTACTGTTGTACCAATTCGTTCTTCCATCAGACTAAGGACGTGGAGTGGATCTCCTTTCCCCGCTTTTGGGTGGTGTCGATCCGATGGAGAACGAACACAAATTCTCCTTTTCCTGCCTCGGAAGATTGTCCGCAAGGACCGATTAGGCCAAAACAGAATTGCGGGCAAGCTGGTTCCTCCACACCAGATTTCAGTCCAGTTTCCTCTGAAAGGTTTCCAGGCAGTGAGGACCAACCCCTGAACTTCTGAATTCGGCCTTGTTTAAGAGAGAAAAAAAAGCAAATACCCTGGGTTTGTAAAGTCCTCTCTAACCAGGTTAGCGACAGCCAGGCCCCTAAAAGAATCTGGAAGGGTTTCCTTCCAAACTTGCACGTGTTTTAACTAGACTAGAACGGAATTGGGTGGCTTGTAGGCAGACATGGGCTCAACAAGCTGTGATGAACCAGCCTTAACTATGGTTGGTTGAGCACCGCATGCTTTAGGACCGCTGGGATGGCCCAGGGTTTTAACCCAACATTAGGAAAAGGCCTGTTGAGTGAATCGCACTATCTATCCAGTAACCTCGGTGTCCGTAAAGAAACTTAATAACAATGCCAAAGGAGAAAAAAAAAAATCCAGAATTAGCATCTGGACATGCTGGACAGGCTGGGCAGTGGAAAATGCATCTCATATTATGCTATGCAAATCTTCTAAAAGTTAATTCCAGAAAAGAGAGAGACACACAGAGAGAGAATTGCCGGATGTATGGAACTAAAATGAAACCTTTCCCAGAAAAAGTTGGAACTTAGACAATGCACCTCATTCCATGCCTGAGCTACGAATATTCTGCTTTTATTGGTATGGAATTAAAGTCGTCAAGGGAAGCAGAATAATTTATTCTCCTGTAGGTCTGTGTTCCATTAGCTTGGGAAATCCTGGCTGCTATATTTATATCCCCAAAAGCCAGCTTCTTAGGATTTAGCCAAAGTTTCTACTCACACTGGGCAGTTTTGGGGAAATCACACAATCTTCTTCCTGATAGGGGCTTCTAAAGGTCGCTCAGATATGATTAGGGTGTGTGTGATATTAATTTCAGGATAACCTCAGGGCTCTTGAATTCATAAATACTTTTTAACTGTGCTTCCCCTTGCAAAACCCCACACCTTTGCAAGTTTTACTCAGAAGCAAACCCCAACACCAGTGCTTCCTGTCTAGCTGAACGAAATCTTAACTCAGGCGATTTAGCCTAGCAATTCTTTTAAAAAACGAGGAGAACCCAAACAATTTAACTTTTGTCTCCGTTTTTTTTTTTTTGAGCGAGCAGGTGGCTTTAAAGTTTGATTCTCTCCCCCCCCCCTTTTAGTTTCCTTTTAAGATTTAAACCTTAGGTCTTTCTCCTCCAGGTCTGAAGCTCTATTTTACTTTACCAGCATTCAAAGCTAGAAGGAATTTGTGCCTGTTTGTTTTTTTTCTTAAAAAGGCTGAAAATGTAAACGGGGACCACGTTAGACATTAATTCTACTCTCTCTTTCCTGTCCACTTGCTTTTTTTTGGGGGGGGGCTTCCAAAAGGGCTTTTCAACTGTTCCCCAAATTAGAAATTAAGCTGGGTGTGGGCTGAGGGGAGAGGGGAGGAAAAATAAACCCAAGAGATATTCAGAATATAATGTGCTAGTTAAAGGCAGTGGGAGAACGGAGCCTTCCTCACAACACCTACAGTCCTGCAATTGAGCAACCAAAATTAACCCCTGATTAGTAATTGCCTGGGTCATTATTAGACTTTTCACTGTGTCTTACAAAATGTAATTAGTTCTTCCCGCCCTTTCCTTTCAACTCCGCAAGCCATTGCTTTGATCTGCCAGGAGTAGGAATGGCATCCTGGTTGTGTGTGTGTGTGTGTGTGTGTGTGTGTTTCTTCAGGTGAGGATTAAACAAGATGGCATGCCTCAAATGCTGCTAATAGGGCATGCTACATTGTTACTAAAAAAAAATCGATCATTTTATTACTATTTTTATTTCTAAAAAAAGAAAAGTCTGGTTTTTTTTTTTAAGTTCCACAAGCAGATCAAGTCTGGGGCTTTTTCTTTAGATACCCACCAGAATAACAGAGTTAGAAGGGACCTTTTGAGGTCACCTAGCCCAACCCCCTGCTCAGGCAGGAAACCCTATACCATTTCGGACAAATGACTGTCCAGTTTCTTCTTAAAAACTTCCAGTGTTGGAGCAGTCACCGCTTCTGGAGGCAGGTTGTTCCACTGGTTATTTGTCCTCATTGTCAGGAAGTTTCTCCTTAGTTCCAGGTTGCTTCTCTCCTTGATCAGTTTCCATCCGTTGCTTCTTGTCCTGCCTTCAGGGGCTTTGGAGAATAGCTTGACTCCCTCTTTTTTGTGGCAGCCCTACAGATATTGGAACACTGTTATGGTGTAATCCCTAGTCCCTATTTTCATTAAACTAGACATATCCAATTCCTGCAACCATTCTCCGTATTGTTTAGCCTTCAGGTCCCTAATCATCAGTTTGATCCCTGTTTCAAACTGGATTCCCAATGCAAGGAAAAAAAAAAGATATGGATTGAGGCCGGTTTGAATTTATGTTTGATTTCAGTAGAGTTGGCAATCAAAATAAATTTGTTGCGGACTGGGATCCATTTATTGGGGAGCCAAAATAAAAAAAACAAAAGTCTAAATGAAGAGAAATAGGCTTTTTCTCCACTGCCCTTGAAAGAAGGATTTTATTTTATCAGACCAGATAAGAAGGAAAGTAATTCCCCAAATCAATAATCTTAGAAGCCTGGACTTAAAAGGAAAAAAAATGGTTTTCCAAACAATCCAGCCATTAATTTAAAAAAAAAAATGAGGCTTGTCTTTCTATTCTCTTTCCTCTTCTTAGAGGAATAATGAATTATTATTAATTGTGTTGATGTGTGTTTGATTCCAGCCCTATTCTGCCAGTCTTTTTAACTTGCAAAAAAAAAATTAAACATAAATTTAAATGGATTGGGAGGCAGTTTGCATATCAGGATTATGTTGGGGGGGGGAGGGGAGAAGAAGAGAGATGGTTGAAATGAAGGGGTTTTCCTGTCCCAAAGGCTGGCTAGTTGAGGTTGACTAGGAAGATCAGAGGCCTCTTAAATATTTCAGCCAGAGCTTGAAGGAGTCCTGAGTAGGGGTGAAAATTCAAAGGGCTTACTTCTAAGTAAATGCATACCTTCAGCTTGGATGGAGCAGTTGGTCTCCTTTTAGGAAACACACACACACACACAAATCTACCCCTCGGGTTTTTGAAAGAAATGGATTGCCTTTTTTTTTTTTTTTTGCAAAATTCTGATAATTTTTGATCATTTCATCCCAATTGGTTTGTGAAGAGTTAAAGGCCCTTAATGGGGCTTACTTCAGAGTAGACATGCACACATGTTTTCTAAAAGTGGCATTGAAAAAATTACTTTTCTCTCCGTGATCCGATACTGTAAATATTGATTTGACATTATTATTTATTTAAATTTATTTGTCGTCCATCTCGCCACTTGGGGGAGGGGTGTCTGAAGGTGATTGGGTCCAGCAGTGATGGAATCACGTGTGGATGCTGCATTCACACAACACCTTTAACCTGGTTCCTGGGCTAACCCGCTCCTTGGCTCCTTGCAATACATCAATGGCCCATGCATTCAACTGGGCCAGTTCAGTTGCTGAGTTCATAACTCACTGGATTAAATGCATTGTGCGAAGGCAGCTCCCGTGGCTGGAAATTGGAAGGGTGAATTTTATATGGAGGCCGCCACCCAAGAGCCTTAAGGCCATGATGCCTTTAATTCGACCCCAACACTAAGTTAAACCAACTTAGCTGGTTTTGCTGCATTTTAGACCCCAGTGCGATCAGGAGCTGCATTTTACGCAGGTCAGGTTGCATTTGGAGAGAATTCACGGTGGCTTTCCGAAAAGTAGAATTGAGTCAAGAATTGAAAATTTCCCCTTCTTTTCAAGACCTGCACCCCAATTGTGGGAGACTTGATGAATCCCTTTTTGGTGTTTCCTGGACTTTCACCCAGAAAAGTGAGGAGGGGGGCTTCAGATTACAAGATGACTTTGCGGGTGCATCACAATCCTAAAGCTGCTGAGTGAATCCCCACGAGATCAGTCAGATTTGCTTCTGTCTGTCTGTCTGTCTGTCTAGGGACTGTTTCTGGAGAGTAAAGTGTACTACTTTTCCATCTTGATAGCTCTACCTCGGATCTGGCAGGCGGCTATGGAGCCAAGAGGGAGCTTAATCCTTATAGTTGAGGACCAGCCTTTAAATTTAACCCCCTGCCCTAAGAGGAAAGCAGATTGGGCCCCAAATTAAGAGTGGGACAAATATTTTGCCCTGTAAAACTCAGAGCCCGGGGGCCTGGATCCCTGTAAGTGTTGATTAAGGGGCCAAGGAATTGATGGGAGCAGGGATTAAGCCAAGGAGAATGGGAATTCAAATGGAAGCGGCAGCCAGCAAATGGTGCTTTTAACCTGTTTCCTTGGATTTCAGATAAAATTACTAAGAATATCACTTTTTTTCCTCCCCTCCTTTCAGCTTTCTTTCTAAGCCAGAACGTTTCTTGAAGTCTAGTTTGTTGGGCAGTCTTTCTAACTCTAATGATCACCCAAAAAGCATCCTCAACGTCTTTGAAAAACAGTGGAATTTGCTTTGAAGAAATTTAGATATTCCCCCCCCCCCTACATAGGCTGTGATGGAAATCGGCAATGTTTTCAGAGGAATCAGCCCTTCCTGCTTAAGGATGTGATTCAAAGCAAAAAAAAAAAAAAAAAAATCACCTCCTTGAATACGTAGTGTCAATTTCTGAGTAAAAATATTATTTGTGGGATGTGGCATGCATATTGATTAGGTGGTTAATTCCACAGAATTAAATAGTTCTCGACAGATATTCAAAATCGGAGCAGTAAACAGGTTAGGTTTTTATTCAGGTCTAGCTTCTGAAGTATATTAAAACAGCAGTTTCTCTCTTCTTTATTTAAAATATTTGTATAGTCACCTATATTTTATCAAGCTCTGGCTGGCTGACAGCCAACTTTTCATCCATACAACTTCTCAATATTTAGGCTAGCTTTCCAAGGAGTTTGGAGCCCTGACTTGGCAAATCTTAAGACCAGATAACTAGGAATTAGCTTGTTTATTCCAGTAAATCATACCTTCAGTTTATGAATTGAAGGAATGAGTACTGTATAGAAAAAATGTATCCATAGGACAAAGTGGAATCTGTATAAGTTTACTAAGAAATAGTTGCCCAGCTTATTTATTTGAATTTTCACAGCCTGTCCTCAGATAGTTTAACACATTTTCTTCCAGCTAAATGATCTTCGGAAATTCAGTTATTTTCACAAATAGTTCCTTATCCCATAAATATATTTATTGTATTAGATGTTGTTCTTTCTTTTCTACATTGGCTTTGACAGAAAGCCATTCCAAGCAAGGGAATTGAAAAGTGGAGGGGTTGGGTTATTTTTCAGTAAGGAGAGTTATAAAACTTTCTCTCTTTTTTTGCAGAAAAAAAAAAAGATAGGGATTACGGCTCATATATGCAAAGGGCTGAATTTGATTTCTAAAGCTTTTATCCCAGAAATGAATCTCATATTTGTAGCTACTAAATTCTGGCTAGGACACGGTTTATTTGGAGTATCAGAAAACAGCAATTGGATGGGTCTCTTGTTTTTATTTTCTTGTTTTGTTTTTATTTTCTAGCATCTTTTATCATGCTAGTTTGCTTTGTGTGCGTAAGCGTACACTCTGAGCGAGATTGTTTAGCTCCTGGGGCCTCGTCCCAGATTCTCCAGATACAAGGAACTATGATACCCATCTTCCTCAGCTGGTAGGGACAGGGTGACAAGATGGGGATTATACTTCCAGAGAGGTGTAGATTATATGGGGATTGTGACGATGGGAAAATTCAGGAAACTTTTAAGATATCCCACAAATGATATAGCCAACAAACGTGGTGAGGAACTTGAGCATCTTCTGCGCTGTAGGACTGTGACACCTGTTCAGCATCCCCATACATAGTCAGGCAGAAACCCTTCCCCACAAAGCTTGTATTCCAATATGGCTGTCCATGAACTTAGCAGGATGATTTGGCATAGGAACAGTGAAGTTGGCGTGGCTAATTTTTGCAATGCTATAGTCAGAAAAAAGCTTCTTCTCTCTTCTTTGTGGGCTTGTGGGTGCCAAAATTACACGCGCAGAGGTAAACTAGCAGCCTTTGTGGCGGTCCCTGGTGCTCTCTGAGTATGCCTACTTTCTTGCAGACGTTTCATTACCCAACTAGGTAACATGATCAGTGCTCACGGTTTGCTCTCTTGTTGATGTACAGGGGGACCCTTCCCCAGGTTTACCCCACTTAAGGAACTGCCAGATCTTTGTATGAAGCAGTAGTCTATCGGGGAAGCACGAAGAATACTCCCACCAATACTATATAAACAGAGAGCAAACTCTACTTTGTTCTGATGATGTTACCTAGTTGGGTCATGAAAGGTCTTGAAAGAAAATAGACAAGCTCAAAGAGCATCAACAGCACTGAAAAAAGTGACATGCCCCTTTTTCATATGTACAACCAGGGCAGCATGCCTGTGGTCACGTGATCAAAATACAGATTCTTGCATAGTGACCATGGGCTCACGTGATCCCCTTTGGCGACCTTCCAGCAAGCAAAATCAAATGGGAGGAGCCAGATTCCCTTAACAACCCCATTGCTAAATGAACAATGCAGCGTTTCACTTAACGACGGTTCATAAAGTGGGGGAAAATCTCACTTAGCACCCGTCTTGCTTGGCGATGGTCATATTGGGCTCCATTGCGGTTGAAAGGCGAGGACTTCCTGCGTTGGGTTGCCTCTTTGGGACGTTTTATGCATTGGGTTCTTTACCGGATCTTCTCCCGAAGCCGGTTCAGGAGACGCCCACTTAACGGAGGCCTCCTTTGTCTTCTTCTGTTCTGGCAGGTAGCCAGGTGTGTCGCCCACCTTTGCTGCACGGCTCTCTCCCCTGGCTGGATGGGAGCAAAGCTTTGGGAAGCCACCACGGAGCTGCACCATGGAACCTGAGTCCGTTCTCCAAAGCGCCCATCCATCACAGCTCACCGGGACCTCTTTCGGTCTACCCACCGGCCTCTACCTCCACTCTGTCTGCGGGCCACTCCAGCCCCCATCTTTTCACTTTCCCACCGACCCCTCCGAAAGATGTGTCTCCAGATCCTTCCATCTCCACCCCGGGCTCCACGGGGTCCAGCCGTCAAGAAGAGAAGGAGTGCATTAAATACCAGGTGTCTTTGGCCGAAACGATGAAGCTGGAATCCTCTCATTCTCGGAGCAACATGGCGTCCCTCGGAGGCGCGTCGTCTTCTGGCCATCATCCAATCGCCACTTATCCTTCCTACGTTCCTGAATACGGCTCTGGACTTTTCCCCCCGAGCAGCCTCCTTGGGGGGTCACCCACTGGATTTGGGTGCAAATCCAGACCCAAGGCCCGTTCCAGTACAGGTAGAGTCCATCAAGGTTTCTTTCTGGCTTGGAAGGGGAGGGTGGGGAAGAAGGAGATTGGAGGTTGCTTCAGGACTAGAGACATGTTATCAGCGTAATGGAAGTCACGTTTTCATTTTTTTTTTTTAAGGGTTAGGGGAGCTGCCACAAAGGAAGATCAGAGCCACTGGAACAGTGTTTCTCAACCTTGACCATTTTAAGGCATGTGGACTTCAACTCCCAGAATTCCACAGCCAGCAATGCTGGCTGTGGAATTCTGGGAGTTGAAGTCCACATGCCTTAAAATGGTCAAGGTTGAGAAACACTGCACTGGAAGATCAGACAGGAGGTTAAACGGGTGCCTCAGAATCTGCTTTGTTCCCAACCCCACTTGGGTTTTATACCATCAGGAAGTGAGTTTGTTTCAGAGAACAAAGATTCTGGAGTGTCTGTTTGACCTTCTGGGTTTGTCAACCATGGTTTAGGGCTGAGGAACATGTCCTCAGTCTCGCTCAAGAAACCAGCATTCGACAAACGGCGGATATGTGATGCTGGCCCATGTTATGACACCTTTCTAGGTTCTGATAGAACAGTGGTTCTCAACCTTTTTAATGCCGTGACCCCCAACCGGTCGTAAGTCGAGGACTACTCAACCGGTCGTAAGTCGAGGACTACTCAACTGGTGCAGCACCGTTTGCAGAATGGGACTTTTGGCGGGCTCAGCAGGGCAGAGACAGCCTGGACCATTCCTATTGGCTTTGGAAAGCCAATAGAATTAGACTCTATTCAAGAGAATCTATTCTATTGGCTTTCAAAAGCCAATAGAATAAAAGGGAGTAGCACAGCTAAGGAAAAGGGGGGAAAAAATGGCGGACTGTGTTGTTTGGTGACCCCCGTGAAATGGTCGCTCGACCCCAAATGGGGTCCCGACCCACAGGTTGAGAACCACTGTGATAGAATCTTGATTGATTTATTTGTATCCCGTTTTTAATATTTTTACAAATAAATCGAGGGGGTGAGCATACCTAATACTCTTTTTCCTCCTCTATTTTCCCTACAACAACCCGATGAGGTGGGTTGGGCTGAGGGTGTGTGACTCGTCCAAAGTCACCCAGCTGCCTTTCATCCCTAAGGCGGGACTAGAACTCACAATCTTTTGATCATTGACTCAAACTCACCCAGCCATCTTTCATCGCTAAGGTGGGACTAGAACTTAGGATCTCTTGGGGATTGGCCCAAAGCCACCCACCCACCTTTCATCTCTAAGATAGGACTAGAACTCAGGATCTCTTGGTGATTGGCCCAAAGAAACCCAGCCGGCTTTCATGGCTAAGGTAGGACTAGAACTCACGATCTCCTGGTTTCTAGCCTTGTGCCTTAATCACTTAAGCGCCTTAACCCAAAATGGCTCTCATGCAGCAATGTTTTGTGCGTTGTGACATCCTTGCACCGATTACCTAATTTTCCTCACTTGTGTCAGTTGCACAATGAGGAAGATGATGTCACTTGCTCTTCTTGGATGCCGAAGGAGCACACTACCACGTGAGAACTGGGAGTTCCAGAAGTAGAAGCTAAACCTTTCCCAACCGGGTTGGGAAAGCAAAGGAAATCTTATTTGAGGAAATGCCTGTCTGCCTAGGTCAGGGCTAGGCAACCTGGGCTCTTTTATGACTCGTGGACTTCAACTCCCAGAATTCCTGAGCCAGCATAGGGGAACTATGGCCCCTTCATGACTGGTGGACTTCAACTCCCAGAATTCCTGAGCAAGCCTGGCTCAGCTTGGAAACCTCTCCCTTTCCCCTCAGCATGGCTGGCTCAGGAATTCTGGGAGTTGAAGTCCATGAGTCATAAAAGAGTCAAGGTTGCTTACCCCTGGCCTAGGTTATGACTGTTTATTGAGTGACCATTCGAAGTTATGACGGGGCTGAAAAAAAGTGACATGATTGGTCCTCACACTTACGACGGTTGCAGCATCTGCATGGTCACATGACTGCAGTTTGGGTGCTGGGCATTTTACGATGGCTGCAGGATCATGTGACATCCATTTGCAAATTCCCAGACAGTTTCCAACAAGCAAAGTGAACGGGGGGGAGGAGTTGAATTAGTGGAACAATTGCATGATTCGCTTAACGACTGTGGCATAAGTCATAAAAGTGAGTGGGACTCACTTAATGACTGCATTGTTCAGTGATAGAATTTGCAGTCCCAATTGTGGTTATAAGCATAATGGCTTCTGCCCTCTAAAATGATATTCCCTGACAATTTATACTGATTTTTTTATTTTATTTTTTTATTTTGCAAATTGTTCAGGATTTGGTTGTTCTCATGGGCTAGGATGGTGATTAAGCCTTTTGGATTTTTGATTCTGTCTCGCGGTCAGCTGTATTTTTTCTTCTTCTTTGGCTATATGTTCTCTCTTTAATTTTTTTTCTCCTTTTAAATTTTATTTCCTTCAAAAAAAAAGTTAATTTTTAAAAACATTTTAATTTTTTAAATTGGAAACCGCCTCGTGGCTGCGAAGTTGAGTGGCCTTGAAACTGAAAAATGAAATAAAATGTAATAGTATTTCTCCTGATGATTCGACAAATCTTCTGCTTACACCAGGGTGTTAAAGATAATCAATGTGAGGATATAATTTGTGATTTGCAGTTATTTCCATTCTTCGCTTTGCAGGAAATAGGATTCCTCTGAACAGACTTGGAAAATGGAATAAGATTCAGCTTGCAAGGAGTTTTTGCTAGGTGCTCTTATAATAGGCAAATAAACCCTTTGTTGAGAGGGATCTCTAGTCCTGATGTAATCGAAGCCAAGGAAAATATTGTATTTGTCTAAGGTAATTTAGGATAGGATCCAGATAAGCTAGAGAGTCCCCCATTCACAGTCAAAGTCCCACAGCCAACTTCATATGTAAGGCGAAACTAGAACTCACTGTCTCCTGGTGATTGGCCTAAAAACTTACCCAACTGGCTTTCATGCCTAAGGCACAATTTGAACTCACTGTCTTCTGATGATTGGTTCAAAGTCACCCATCTGGTCTTCATGTCTAAGGCAGGACTAGAACTCAACATCTCCTGGTGATTGATCCAAAGTCACCCAGCTGGCTTTCATGCCTAAGGCGGGACTAGAACTCACCGTCTCCTGGTGAGTGATCCAAAGTCACCCAGTTGGTTTTCATGCCTAAGTAATAGTAGTAAAGTTGGAAGGGACCTTGGAGGTCATCTAGTCCAACCCCCTGCTCAGGCAGGAAACCCTACACCATTTCGGACAAATGGCTGTCCAGTCTCTTCTTAAAAACTTCCAGTGTTGGAGCGGGATTAGAACTCACAGTCTCCTGGTGAGTGATCCAAAGTCACCCAGTTGGTTTTCATGCCTAAGGCGGGACTAGAACTCACCGTCTCCTGGTGAGTGATCCAAAATCACCCAGTTGGTTTTCATGCCTAAGGCGGGACTAGAACTCACCGTCTCCTGGTGATTTACCCAAAGTCACCCAGTTGGTTTTCATGCCTAAGGCGGGACTAGAACTCACCGTCTCCTGGTGATTTACCCAAAGTCAACCAGTTGGTTTTATGCCTAAGGCGGGACTAGAACTCACCGTCTCCTGGTGATTTACCCAAAGTCACCCAGTTGGTTTTATGCCTAAGGCGGGACTAGAACTCACTTATCTTCTGGTGATTGGCTCAAAGTCCCCATCTGGTTTTCATGCCTAAGGCGGGACTAGAACTCACCGTCTCCTGGTGATTGGCCCAAAGTCCCCATCTGGTTTTCATGCCTAAAGCAGGACTAGAACTCACCGTCTCCTGGTTTGTAGGCCAGCACCTTAATCCCTACAGCAAACTTCCCAGTTAAGGTTAAATCAGATTTAAGTTTAATCGCAACCTTGAGGCCTCTCTCATCCCACGCATTCAAAAAACCGGGCAGCCTTGAGATGAATTGGAGAGGGAAGGAAGCAAATTCAGAGTCAATGGGCCGTGTTAGAAGTTAATATGCAAATGCCACATCCACGTAATATTGTCACGCTCTTTTAAAGTAGACGAGTAATAGATGTGTGTTTTGCCTCGCCTAGAAATCAAATATTTATTTATTTATTTCGGTGCCGTTGTAACCTCGAACAGTCCCTAAATGAAGTGTTATAAGTTGAGGACTATCTGTCTTATTAATATCTAGGCCATTTATCCAAATAGATTCAGGATTACGACTATTTAACAATGGAAACACCAACTTTTCCACAGTGCCGGTAGAGTTGCCTGATCATTACTCTGCTTCCGAAGCTCTTCCCTCGTAGGCAGGTTGGTGTATCTGGCTTGCATCTCTGCTGTGAAAATGTCTACTGGAGGCTGATGACAGCCAGGCCACAAGAGGCTGGCCAAGATGGTTTGTTTGTTTTGGAGAAGGAGCAATCCTAGAGGACAGTTGTCTGGCAGGAAAGGGGCACCGTTCTCTCTCTCTCTCTCTCCATTTGCAACCAGTTGAAACTAGCCAGCTAGATTTTTAGCCTTGTTTGTTGTGATTATATGGTTAGTTTATGGTGCGGGGTTTTTTGTAGGAACCATAGCAATTAGATTGTCAATAAACCATAGTTTATATGGAAATCCACTTGTGCAGATCTCTCTCCTCCCTCTCCCTCTCATCTCCCTCCCTCTCCCTCTCCTCTCCCTCTCCTTCTCTCTCTCCCTCTCCCTCCCTCCTTCTTCCTCTCTCCTTGTCCCTCCCTCTCTCCCTCTCTCCCTCTCCTTCTCCCTCCCTCTCCCTCTCTCCCTCTCCTTCTCTCTCTCCCTCTCCCTCCCTCCCTCTTCCTCTCTCTTTGTCCCTCCCTCTCTCTCCCTCTCTCTCCCTCTCCTCTCCCTCTCCTTCTCCTTCTCCCTCCCTCTCCCTCTCCTTCTCTCTCTCCCTCCCTCTCTCTCCCTCTCCTCTCCTTCTCCTTTTCCTTCTCCCTCCCTCTCCTCTCTCTCCCTCTCCCTCTCCCTCCCTCCTTCTTCCTCTCTCTCCTTGTCCCTCCACTCTCTCCCTCTCCTTCTCCCTCC